GACCCTCAAGTGCTGGCTCCCCAAGATGAATGCGGTATCACTTAAAGTAGCACGTATCGTTGCTACGAACGAAGTTACAATCCGGGTGTCTTAAAGTTGGTTAACCGCAGCCTGCCACGATACACCTGCTTCCAATTTTTTTAACCTCAAGATTCTGCAGAGATTGGAGGACCATCCAAATAGGAAAATATTCAAGTCGCTGCTTATCAAAAGGCATCGTCCACGGTAAAACGTGGACATCTGTTCCTGGCTCTCAAGAAATCCCCAATGCAGCAGGAATATAGACTAAATCGACAATCACCCGAAATTCCTAACTTTGAAGCACACCTGTGGGTGTCGGCCGGATGGTCGTGAGGCCCCTCAGCACACAGATGTGTGCCTTCACGGCGTCACGAGAGCTGCGTGCGGTACATAATAAGACGAAATCTTCATCAGTCAGCACAAGAGTGATGTCGAAAAATATGTGCCGCGGTACTTCTCATCACAGGGCGGTATATTTAGGAGAAGTTACGGAAACCGGTTCAACAGACGACAGCTAACATACTTAATTTGTCGGGCTTTAGCTAAATTGCCTTCATTTTGCCTAGTAAGGCCGTGTTGACGCCTGCTATGTACACACGTGTGTGTCTATCTTGTGCTCTGTTGATTAAAGATTCGTTTAATGTCCCATGTCCTGCGTTCACATGACTACTGCAATTGTCACGTAAATATTGCGATTTTCCCCCGTCAAAACACAGTTACAGTGCGTGCGCATACGGCTGTCACGAGCGACCGTGTCGCCCGCTCGGACGGAGCGCGCTAAGCCGTATGGCAGAGCGGCCGGCGGCGGGCGGGTCGCGTCCGTGGTCACGAGGCCATTACCCATCCCATTGGTCGGCCAGCGGCTGGGCCCAAGCGGTCCCGGGTGGCCGTCGTATGGCGCCGCGCGGCGGCCGGGGAGCCGGGCACAAAGAGCGGCGGGCCGTCGGCCGGCGGGGAGCCGAGCCCCAGCGACCGCTCCCTCGGGCGGCATTACTGCATTACACCGATTGACCCAAACGCCAGATAAAAACTTGTAATCTCCGCTGGCTAGCACCGGCCGGCCCTCAGCGCAGACTCACCCGCCGCTCTGGCCGGCTGGCCGCGCTGCCGCGGAAGGTCGGCGCACGGGCCGCACGGAAGGCCGGGCTTTGTACGACCATTTAGTTAATGTGATTAAATTAATTTGGGATTCACTCAACGTGTAGTTAATGCGATCAGGGTGATGGCAACAAATGCGTCCCCCGAGGCGTTTCGGACTAGTGGGGCGATTATATCGCTTTAATTGCGTGATCAGCCTGGCACACGACTGGCGAACGGAGGCACCCAGATAAAATCAATTGGCCCGGCGTGCTAATGGAGGGTGGAGTCGACCAGAACGTGACTCAAGCCCGGCGCTTAGACGCTGCCGACCGGCCGCGGCTCAATCGCCGCTTGGGGTCGCGATCGCGGCCCGCCGACACAGAGGTTATTTGCAAATTAGGCCTGAATCTGCCGGAGAGAGAAATCTGTTTAGCGTGACATGCCTGGCTCATTAATCCAGCTGCGCATTTGGGCACGTTGTGAGTGGATAATTAACAGACGATTAGTCATTGCTGAATGTAATTTGTCTCCTGTTATTCTCTCTGCTTATGTTTTTCGAATGAAATCGCAAGCCGGAAGCCCCTCCTCAACTCCCGGGATACGCAGAAATTGTGGGGATACCTTTTGATTCCCCTATATTCCCAGGAACAGCTTCGTAAGCGTTTGACATAGACCGTGCTGTAATGCTGTATCCGGCTAAGACGGTTTCTGGTAACGGTGACCTGACTGGCCTATATTCAGCTCGCTGTCGTCAGCTAAAGCTGCGGCGTTTTAGATTACAGTAATTTAACGGGAATGTGTCACGCTTGAAGATATTGAAGCAAGCGTCAGATTTCATCAGACAGGCTCACTTTCAGCTATCGGTACGCGTTCTAAGTGGAAAAGACTGTTCTAGACAGTACAATTCTCTGTATAGTAAATATGCTCCTCAACGCTTCAAGGTTTAATTATGTCATCGTACCTTGCATAACATTGATTGAGAGCCAATTGACGGCCGTTTTATCTGGAAATCGTCGTCACGAACGTCAGATATGAACGCATCGACAATTACGCTTTTCATGGCCTTGATCGCCGCGTGGCTTATAGAATGGCAAGATTTAAATGATGTTGCTAAGACGTCACGAATGGCAAGGTAACTTTGAAATACTCTCCCCGATATATGATTACATGATATAGATCTATTTTCGCGGCGCGTAGCTCAGAAGCTAGAGGGACTTAAGTCCTAAGGCTGGTATTGTGAACAGCAGCGGAAGGTCTTCAGGGTGGCTTTTCATATCAAAATGTCATATAAATGCTGAACGCTCCCTTAACCTGCCACACGAACACTCATTCGTGATTTATTGACGTTAAATGCGCATTCCGTTGTCAGCTGTTTCTTTAAGATATTGGCTTCCAGTGGTGCTGATGGTGTCTATTTATATATCGTATATCAATCAGTTATCGAAAAGAAGGCATTGATCTCGCAAACTCGTGGGCCGGTCCCGAGGTTCTCGGAATCGTCTTCCCCTTCAGGGTCTCACAAACCGAGGTCGAGGCAGATTACTTATATATATATATATATATATATATATATATATAATTATGTTTTTATATATGTATATATGTATGTGTGTATCGCATTCCTCATAGCGTTTTAATCACAAGTCGTGTGTGATGAATTAGCTATACGGTTTGCTTCCACTCATTTTCCACTCACGCGCTTTGAAGTTCACAAGTGCCGCAAGGTCCTCCTCCGCGGTCAAACTGACTAGTGCTTTCGCGGGTCTCAAAGGGCTCCGCCGCGGATAAAATGTCCAACGGAGTGGTGTTGAGATCCGCAAGGCCGTAGAGGTGATGCAATATTCCGCAAAAAACTGGAGAAGTTGTTACCCTATCCGCCCGGTGCTTGATGAAGTTGCAGATATTCGTTCAAAGAGATTGGGAGCACCAAGCCAGCTAGGCAGCTTTCCTATACATAAAAGGAGATGCCATTGTCTCGAAATCCATTTTCAGCCGCAACAAACGTAGAACTAGGAACGATTGGCACTCGCACTCTGTGTTCCCTTCGGCTCACGGCGTCGTGACGCGAAGGCATAAAACGCTGCCGCAGCTTAGTGTATACGGAAGTGGCGCCAGTCTTCCTCACCGTCCTTACCAAAACTCAAAATCTTGCAGAATATACCAGTGTTAAGAGTAAGCAGCTGGCGGAAAGAGATATTGCGTATGCATCGGGAAGGACATAACACCACGTTTGGCATTAATAGCTGAAAGAAATATGTTTGTTTTCGGTTAATTCACTTCTTTGGTCGAGGATGCATTGCTCCATCGTGGTTTCCTTTACGCTCAGGCTTAGTTTGGATAGTTGTATGTTGGAACATGGGTTGTGTTAGGAAAACAGTGTTGTTCTACAGGGGAATTATCAGTCAAGAAAATCAGCGTGTTGGTATTACGTCAATTGTTCCTGCTTCCAACCAGGCCACGCCGGTATCAAAATAAACAAGCATAATGCGTGCGAACAACTTGGACTATTTGCGAGCTAAGTGTCTATGCCAGCATGACTAATGCCAACACATATGTTCAGGATGAGTAAAAGCCAGAAATAATTGAGACACATGCGTGTGCCATGACATCCAGCAATCCTGTTTGACTTCGCAATGCCGTGTTTATTGCTCAAGATGCTTTCTTTAAAGTTGTTCCCTCCACATGGACTTCCTGACATTTCTTTACGCTCCTCAGCCTTTGGTATGTTATCAGTAGCCAAATCATGGTCTTAAACTATTTTTTTCGATCGTTCTCCTGCGTCCACACCACATGTTATGGCATTTATATGGATTTATTTTGTGTCGGCACCATTACCCGCAAACTACGCCCAAAAATAAACAGGCTTTTACATGGGCGACTATTCCATATTTCTCCTACAGCACGAGGTCTCTCTCTCTCTCTCTCTCTCTCTCTCTCTCTCTCTCTCTCTCTCTCTCTCTCTCTCTCTCTCTCTCTCTCTCTCTCTCTCTCTCTCTCTCTCTCTCTCTCTCTCTCTCTCTCTCTCTCTCTCTCTCTCTCTCTCTCTCTCTCTCTCTCTCTCTCTCTCTCTCTCTCTCTCTTTCTCTCTCTCTCTCTCTCTGTCTCTCTTTCTCTCTCTGTTCTGATAATTTGAATATGGAAATTTAAGTCAATGCTAAACAAAAATCAACTGAAAATCCCTTCGTACCTTCACGGAAGTGTTCAAAATATTGCACTTTTGAATCAACGGTTTTTCGTTCCTGAGCTTGTGATGTATTGTATGCGCCATTCCGCAACTATGCTACCTCAGTGTGTCGTTCGTGAGCTGCAGCAGACCTAGGGTCGGACGTAAGTATAGCTTGTGGCAACAATAAGGCAAGTTGACGCCAAGTGGAAAATATGCACCGAAAAAAGTTTTATCTTCCTTAAGAAAACAATAAGTGAGCCACCTTCTCTTCTTATACTTGGTATTACTTATTAACCGCAGTGTTCTTGTGAGGAGCACAAATATTGACTATGTTGCTGAAATGACTGTTGGCAAATAATGCTTTGTCTTCCTGGTCGTAACAAGTGCTGCAACGGCAAAAACTTGCATTTGCTTCTTAATCTTGATGATGCGCCGGGCACGCAAAATAAAAGATACCTTACGAGCTACGACACTTTTGGAGCCCCGTTTGTAGTCCAGTCATCCAGGTCATCATCTAAGTCACCAACATAACATGCACCTACAAGGCATATGTTCGTCGGTTGAATCATTGTGACCTTCAAAGCCCAGGTTCCACATGACACACCGCTGACCTGACCCATGTTACGAGCCCTCTGGCGGCCGGTGTGGTGACCTGAGGGCGTATTCAGGCACGCCGTATGGCGGCGGCGGCGGCGGCGGCGGCGGCGGCGGCGGCGACGGCTCGGGCCCCGAGGTGCCCGCCTGCTCCTCCAGCCAGGCCAAGGTGAAGCAGCGCCGCAGCCGGACCAACTTCACGCTGGAGCAGCTGTCGGAGCTGGAGCGGCTGTTCGACGAGACACACTATCCGGACGCCTTCATGCGGGAGGAGCTCAGTCAGCGGCTGGGCCTGAGCGAGGCCCGCGTGCAGGTCAGTGGGACGGAGCTCAGCCAGCGGCTGGGACTGAGCGAGGCCCGTGTGCAGGTCAGTGAGACGGAGCTCAGCCAGCGGCTGGGACTGAACGAGGCCCGCGTGCAGGTCAGTGGGACGGAGCTCAGCCAGCGGCTGGGACTGAGCGAGGCCCGCGTGCAAGTCAGTGGGACGGAGCTCAGCCAGCGGCTGGGCCTGAGCGGGGCCCGCGTGCAGGTCAGTGGGACGGAGCTCAGCCAGCGGCTGGGACTGAGCGAGGCCCGTGTGCAGGTCAGTGAGACGGAGCTCAGCCAGCGGCTGGGACTGAACGAGGCCCGCGTGCAGGTCAGTGGGACGGAGCTCAGCCAGCGGCTGGGACTGAGCGAGGCCCGCGTGCAACTCAGTGGGACGGAGCTCAGCCAGCGGCTGGGCCTGAGCGAGGCCCGCTTACAGGTCAGTGGGACTGAACTCAGCCAGCGGCTGGAGCTGAGCGAGGCCCACGTGCAGGTCAGTGAACCTGAGCGGGGCCCGCGAGCGGGTCAATGGGACTGAGCGGGGCCCGCGAGCGGGTCAGTGGGACGGAGCTCAACCAGCGGCTGGGACTGAGCGAGGCCCGCGTGCAGGTCAGTGAGACGGAGCTCAGCCAGCGGCTGGGGCTGAGGGAGGCCCGCGTGCAGGTCATTGAGCCTGAGCGGGGCCCGCGAGCAGGTCAGCGGGGCTGAGCGAGGTTCGCGTGCAGGTCAGTACGAGCAGAGTGTAGTGAGCACAGGGGCCAGCTGAGCTCAGAGGCCAGAGATCAGCTGAGCTCAAGGGCAGGGGTCAACCGAACCCAGAGAGCAGGGTTTAACAGGGCCCAGAGGGCAGAGTTCAACAGAGCTCAGAGGGCAGGGTTCAACAGGGTCCAGAGGGCAGGGTTCAACAGGGTCCAGAGGGCAGGGTTCAACAAAGCTCAGAGGGCAGGGTTCAACAGGGCCCAGAGGGCAGAGTTCAACAGAGCTCAGAGGGCAGGTTCAACAGGGTCCAGAGGGCAGGGTTCAACAGGGCCCAGAGGGCAGGGGTCAACAAAGCTCAGAGGGCAGGGTTCAACAGGGTCCAGAGGGCAGGGTTCAACAAAGCTCAGAGGGCAGGGGTCAACTGATCCCAGAGGGCAGGGGTAGACTGAGCTTAGAGGGCAGGAGCGTACAAATATCTGACTCCATGGACGCAGTGCTAGAATGTGTTTTTTTCACACAACGCCATAGGGCTATTGCCTGTGCTAGACATTCCAAAGTTGGGGACGGGTAGCTTTGTTTTGCCCTCATTCCTCTATTCATGACAGAGGCACCCGCATTCAGGCTGGTTGACTCACAATAGCTAACCGCTGATCGCCCAGTTTCCACATTCACCGCCTCGTCCCAAATACTCACGAAGCCACGGCGCAAAGAAGCGGAAGAAGCCAAGAGCCAAGACGGCTCACGGGAAATCGAAAGCTGTTTTCGCGGCCGTCTTGCCGGAGACCCGCTCGAGGACCCTCAAACAACTCGGAACCTAAGGAAGGGTCTCGGCACGGGGTGAGGCTCGGGAGTGAGAGTCCCCTCGATGGCCGCAGTATTGGCCTACTACTTACCACTCTGCTTCATCCCATAACCCCAAAATGGCCGTTACTGACCGAAAAGATATAATCCAGAGGCCTCCAGGACGGAACAAAGCCACGCAGAATAGCTCACCGCAAGCTCCGCGGGCGCACGCCGCGGGACGTACTCGAGCTCTCCAGGCATACCCGCGGGACGTTCTCAACCTCTCCAGACGTACCCACGGGACGTACTCGAGCTCTCCAGACATACCCGCGGGACGTACCCGAGCTCTCTAGACATGCCCGCGGGACGTACCCGAACTCTCCAGGCATCTATGCGGAGCGTTCTTGAGCTCTCCAGGCATCTATGCGGAGCGTGCCCGAGCTCTCCACACGTACCCGCGTGACGTACCCGAGCTCTCCAGACATACCCGCGTGACGTACCCGAGCTCTCCAGATATACCCGCGTGACGTACCCGAACTCTCCAGGCATACCCGCGTGACGTACCCGAGCTCTCCAGGCATACCCGCGTGACGTACCCGAGCTCTCCAGATACACCCGCGTGACGTACCCGAACTCTCCAGGCATACCCGCGTGACGTATCCGAGCTCTCCAGACATCCCTGCGGAGCGTACCCGAACTCTCCACACGTACCCGCGGAACGTACCCGAGCTCTCCAGACATACCCGCGTGACGTACCCGAGCTCTTTAGACATGCCCGCGGGACGTACCCGAACTCTCCAGGCATATATGCGGAGCGTACTTGAGCTCTCCAGGCATCTATGCGGAGCGTGTCCGAGCTCTCCACACGTACCCGCGGAACGTACCCGAGCTCTCCAGACATACCCGCGTGACGTACCCGAGCTCTCCAGATATACCCGCGTGACGTACCCGAACTCTCCAGCATACCCGCGTGACGTACCCGAGCTCTCCAGACATACCCGCGTGACGTATCCGAGCTCTCCAGACATCCCTGCGGAGCGTGCCCGAACTCTCCACACGTACCCGCTGAACGTACCCGAGCTCCCCAGACATACCCGCGTGACGTACCCGAGCTCTCCAGACATACCCGCGTGACGTACCCGAGCTCTCCAGATATACCCGCGTGACGTACCCGAGCTCTCCAGACATACCCGCGTGACGTACCCGAGCTCTCCAGATATACCCGCGTGACGTACCCGAGCTCTCCAGGCATACCCGCGTGACGTACCCGAGCTCTCCAGACATCCCTGCGGAGCGTACCCGAACTCTCCAGGCATACCCGCGTGACGTATCCGAGCTCTCCAGATATACCCGCGTGACGTACCCGAACTCTCCAGACATACCCGCGTGACGTACCCGAACTCTCCAGATATACCCGCGTGACGTACCCGAACTCTCCAGACATACCCGCGTGACGTATCCGAGCTCTCCAGACATCCCTGCGGAGCGTGCCCGAACTCTCCACACGTACCCGCTGAACGTACCCGAGCTCCCCAGACATACCCGCGTGACGTACCGGAGCTCTCCAGACATACCCGCGTGACGTACCGGAGCTCTCCAGGTATACCCGCGTGACGCACCGGAGCTCTCCGGACATACCCACGTGACGCACCGGAGCTCTCCAGGTATACCCGCGTTACGTACCGGAGCTCTCCATGCATACCCGCGTGACGTACCGGAGCTCTCCGGACGTGCAGCCGTGCTCGGGCTCACACGCCGATGGCTCTAGCCACCGCCGTTGTGGACGGGTTCGTCGGCAAGCCCCGCGCCGGAGTCGGCCGAGCCGCTGCCGCGCGGAGGGGAGGGGAGGGGAGCAGCGCCGAGCGAGGGCGTTCGCGCGGCCGCCGCCGTGCCAGACGATTCTGATTATCATTGGCGTCGGACGCTCGGATAAATCGGCTAATATGACAGAAACGCCGGTAAGTAAGCAGCCGCCACGACCAATTGGCCTGGCCGACAGTCGAGCAATAGCCCCGCTGAGACTCCGGCCGTCTGGCGAAAACAAATAGCACTGGCGGCCGGCCGGCGCGCCGCCCGCCGCCGGCTTGCGAGGTGTCGGCCGCCCCCACCAAAGAAACACCTGTCACGAGCGGCCTGACAGCTGGACGCGCGGTTCAGGCAGACGTTGCCGCGGCTGGTGGCGCTAGGAGATTGGACGTGAGGCGGCGCAGGACTGGTCTGCGCCGCCTGGGACATGTACTGCTTGTTTGTTGTTGTTGGCTTTTTGATACATGTGTTGTTTCACGGTTGGTGTCTGTTCATTGAACGTGTAAGAAAGTAGTTGGTGTACATATCCAGTCCAGTTCAGTAAATAACATCAAGCAAAGGCGCAGCCAAAATGTGTCGCCCCTCTCTTAGGCCTGAATTTTTCGCCGTTGACGGGACTTGGAAAGTTAAAATTCGGTGTGACGCGTACTTACCGACCCCCCCCCCCCCCCCCACCCCTTTGAAAAAGGCCTGACTGCACCCCGGTCACCCAGCACGAGTATAGATTAGCTTTCTCTCTCGTGTGTTAAGTAATCTGGGGTGTTATTCTCTGGTGTCATTTGGTATGATGTGTGCAGCACTTTACAGCTTATACCACTGGAATAAAGTGATGATTGTGCGAGTCAATCGCGATGGCTGCTCGGAGCCGCCAGTTTGCCAACCAAACTCTAGGAAGACAATTAAAGGTGGCGGAGGAGATCTAGGTCACAAGGTCCCCAAGACGAGTTCAGTGCTATCCTCGGTGATCCTAGGAGAATGGTGTAGCACGCATGGCTTATCTAACACGTTCGGAAAATATAATTTTTCGAGAATTTGGAACTCGCGTTGGTACCTTGGCTGAATTCTAGTGTGCTAACAAACCTGCGTTTTGTTTAACATTGCGCTTGCTTTTTATCTAAAAAACAAACGTAAAATTGTTGGTTCCTTAGTCAGTGCGAGGAGTTGAAATTAGTAGCACATTGTCTATTCACATGGACACGCACTCTATCGCATACGCACTTCCATATGTTAAATAACACATTTTTCTCTATTTATGTCACGCGCCGATTCAACATCACCCCAAGAACATTTTCACAGTCACCGTCTGTCTAATTCTTTCTGTAGACCTTTGACGTTATCGATGCGATATTGTTGCTTGAAGGCGCATAGACAGCTGAGTGTATAAGCGCCTCTGCATTTCTCACCTGTATTTCTCCCTCTCCGCAGGTCTGGTTTCAAAACCGTCGGGCAAAGTGCAGGAAGCACGAAAGTCAGATTCATAAAGGCAGGTATCTTTGTCCGCTCGTCTACTACTCGCTTTGGTGGGCGCATTGCTAATTGAGAATGCAGACAGGAGTACACTCGAGGTCCAAAGGCTACTTTCACGCCCTTGCCACCAATAGCGACTGCAGGGGATATCCGTGCTAAGGCGGCTGCACGTGGCTCTGTCCTGGCCCGCGTTGGACCTGACCAGCGGTCGGTTTGACCGGCCTGACTCGGCGGTGCCGCGCCCTCAGCCAGCCCGTGGCACCCGCCACTTCGGCGTGCCGGTGACATCCGTGCTGAGGCGGCTGCACGTGGCTCTGTCCTGACGTGCGTTGGTCCTGACCAGCGGTCGGTTTGACCGGCCTGACCCGGCGGTGCCGTGCCCTCAGCCAGCCCGTGGCACCCGCCACTTCGGCGTGCCGGTGTTTACCCCATTTAGATAATGCAATCGGGGCCCCGGCCGCGTGCCGGCGGCTCCAGATTTCCGTGTAACCGGGGCGCCCTAACGAGTTTATGCATGCCTCCCTATATTGCCAGGGGATCTTAATCGAATACGGCCCCGTAAGCCATTCAATAAAAAGCGTCCCAAATGGATGATCAGTTGATTTTCCGTTTGAAAGTGCCTTGACACGCTGCGCGTTTGAACTAGGCAATTGAATTCGGTGGCCTCGGCAATCGAAGGGTGGCCAGAAAAGAAGAGAACGGATTATCAATCTAAAAACGGACTGCTGACGCATTTTTGAACGACGGGGACATACTCCATGTGGTTAGGGAGCAAACAAGTCCATAAAAATGACGCGGTTGAAAGGGATAAAGCCAAGGCAGGAACAAAACATGGTGCTCGAAAATCATTACCATATGTGAATCACTTTACATCACTTTCATTATTGCACATATCACGCTAAGTCACCAGCACGTACAAGGCACGGACTGAAGGATGTTTCTAAAATAAGACGTATGAGAAGAGTCGTGAAATGGTCTGATTTATAAAATTTAGCGACTTGTAACCTAATGGATAACGTTGTGTTCAAAAAGTTGTTTTACTGGCTTGGTACAGACGCGGGATGAATGCTTCTACACCATGTTTTGTGAGAATGTCCAGCTATCGCTTAAACATATTATTTCGTCAATGGCAAAGCTGCATCCCCTGACATCCGTAGTCGACGTGCCCCGCCCCCCCCCCCCCCCCTCACCGAGGTCTGCCTCAGGCCGCAGGCCACTGGTGTCTCTGCCGGCCCCAACCAGCCGTCTGTGTCTCTGCCGGCCCCAACCAGCCGTCTGTGTCTCTATCAGCCTCAACCAGCCTTCTGTGTCTCTGCCGGCCCCAACCAGCCACCTGTGTCTCTATCGGCCCTAACCAGCCGTCTGTGTCTCTGTCGGCCCCCATCCGTCGTCTGTGTCTCTGTCGGCCCTAACCAGCCGTCTGTGTCTCTGTCGGCCCCAACCAGCCGTCTGTGTCTCTGTCGGCCCCAATCGGCCGTCTGTGTCTCTGTCGACCCCAACCGGCCGTCTGTGTCTCTGTCGGCCCCAACCGGCCGTCTGTGCCTCTATCGGCCCTAACCAGCCGTCTGTGTCTCTGTCGGCCCCCATCCGTCGTCTGTGTCTCTGTCGGCCCTAACCAGCCGTCTGTGCCTCTGTCGGCCCCAACCGGCCGTCTGTGTCTCTGTCGGCCCTAACCAGCCGCCCGTGTCTCTGTCGGCCCTAACCAGCCGTCTGTGTCGACAGCCGGCCTGCTGCTGAGCCCGTCTGGCGGCGGGGCCGGCTCGGGCACGGCCGGCCGGCCCGCCGGCGTGCCGCTCGAGCCGTGCCCGGTGACACCGCTCAGTCCGTACCCGGGCCGGCTGGCGCACGGTCCTCACCTGGTGACGCCGCCCGACCAGCTGACGGCCGCCGTCAGCCGGCTGTCAGCGCTCGACCCGGCGCTGCTGCAGGTACGTCACTGGACCCAGCGCTGCTGCAGGTACGTCACTGGACCCGGCGCTGCTGCAGGTACGTCACTGGACCCGGCGCTGCTGCAGGTACGTCACTGGACCCGGCGCTGCTGCAGGTACGTCACTGGACCCGGCGCTGCTGCAGGTACGTCACTGGACCCGGGGCTGCTGCAGGTACGTCACTGGACCCAGCGCTGCTGCAGGTACGTCACTGGACCCGGCGCTGCTGCAGGTACGTCACTGGACCCAGCGCTGCTGCAGGTACGTCACTGGACCCGGCGCTGCTGCAGGTACGTCACTGGACCCAGCGCTGCTGCAGGTACGTCACTGGACCCGGCGCTGCTGCAGGTACGTCACTGGACCCAGCGCTGCTGCAGGTACGTCACTGGACCCGGCGCTGCTGCAGGTATGTCACTGGACCTGGCGCTGCTGCAGGTACGTCACTGGACCTGGCGCTGCTGCAGGTACGTCACTGGACCCGGCGCTGCTGCAGGTACGTCACTGGACCCAGCGCTGCTGCAGGTACGTCACTGGACCTGGCGCTGCTGCAGGTACGTCACTGGACCTGGCGCTGCTGCAGGTACGTCACTGGAACCGGCGCTGCTGCAGGTACGTCACTGGACCCGGCGCTGCTGCAGGTACGTCACTGGAACCGGCGCTGCTGCAGGTACGTCACTGGAACCGGCGCTGCTGCAGGTACGTCACTAGACCCAGGGCTACTGCGGACACGTCACTGGACCCGGCGCTGCTGCAGGCACGTTAGTGGGGCTACAGTGCTGTACTGCAGGTACGGCACTGTACATGCTGTCATGCTGTTGCTCTACATAATGCCATGCTGATCGGTCATGCTGGTCATATCTACATGCATGCGGGGGCAATGGAAGTCTTCCCACGTTTGTGCGATGGCCGTTGTTGGGCATTTTTTATAGGCAGCGCCCGTAGGATCAATGACAAATTTTCCGAAAGTTAGGGGAGGACAGACCCCTCGCCCCTTTAGCTCTCACGCCCCTGCATGCATGTTGGGAACCGTCTTAGCACGCATGGAGACATTGTCGCATTTAGCCAGCGGCTTAGTCTGTGAGACCGTGGGAAACTCCCTGGCGGTTGCAGCACACACCGTGGCTTCTACGACTCTAACTGCGATTTTGACCTCCGTCTGTGAGACCGTGGGAAACTCCCTGGCGGTTGCAGCACACACCGTGGCTTCTATGACTCTAACTGCGATTTTGACGCACACACTCTCTTCATCCGGTGGCGACGACGCTGTCCAGCACGATGTCGCTGCTTGTTACAAGAAAGACATGCACGATGTAGCGGTGCGGCGATGCAATGAAGCAGTGTTCTGCCAGCGGGGATGCTGATGGATAGTAGCTATACTGTAGGGAGAGGGGCCGGCCCTGACAGCCCGGTGGCCAGTGGCATCTGTGATGCTGGTGAACTACGCGCCGCCGTGCGATCCGTCACTTAGGAATGCTCTGCTGCGCCGCTGAAATCGGCCCCGAGGCAACCTACGTCAGAACAGCGCTGGCCGCCAGTCGAAAAGCCTGGTGTTCTCAGATGTGGTCCTTCAAGCAGGGGTGTAATTCCCTCTTCAGTTGGAGGCTGAAAAGCTCCAGCTCCTCGTCTAAACTTGAGGGGAAAGTGGGTCAACATTTTGTGAAATTATTTGGCGTATTTTCAGAGTACAGTTTGTCACTTTTCCCTACTTAGCTTCACTAGCCTATTTTCCGAAACCACGCCCCTGCCTCCAAGAAACTGTTAACCTGACTCGTAGGGTTATTTGAGTTATAGTTTGATGACGTAAGCATGTTGAAACAACTTTCTTGCCAAAAACTGGGCCTGCAAAGTATTCATACGAAGCATGGTTGCTTACCTGAGCGAAACGATACATCATTCATCCCTTTCATTTAGAGGTCATGTCGACGTCCGGCCCACGGCTCGGTCGTTCCGCCACCGCCCCTCTCGTACCGCCCTGCGCCACCACCCGCCCCACGATAAGGTCTTGTCCTCAGCTCAGCCCACTGGCGGGCCCTGACCCCGGCCTCCGGGGCACGACCCACGACCCGTCTTGACACCCTCTCCCCACTCGGGCCCCCTCCCCCCCCGTCTCCCCTGCCTCGTCCCCGGTGCTGCGGAGTGCCGCTCCCGACACGACATTTAATTATGTCCCTGCGGAAACATTTAATCGAATTAGACCCAATGAGAATCGTCCGTCATCAGGCGTTTTATTCATTCGACCAATGGTAATGAGATTTGTATTAGCCCCGCCCCCTGGTATCGATCGGCGACATCTGACGTGGTGGAGACGGCCGGCCGCCGGCGGACGACGGCCGTGCCGTCGCGGTTCACAGCGCGACGGCGGCTCACAGCACAACGGCCGCCAAAAGCACAGCGGCGGCTCATAACGCAGTGGTGGCTCACAGCACAGCGGTGGTTCACAGCACAGCAGCCGCCCACAGCACAGCGACGGCTCATAGCACAGCGGCGGCTCATAACACGGCAGCGGCTCACGGCACAGCGGCACAGCGGCGGCTGACAGCACAGCGGCCGCCCCCACAGCACAGCGGCGGCTCACAGTACAGCGGACGGCTCATAATACAGGGGCAGCTCACAGCACAGCGGCACAGCGGCGGCTCACAGCACAGCGGTGGCCCATGACACGGCGGCGGCTCACGGCACAGGGGCAAAGCGGCGGCTCACAGCACAGCGGTCGTTCCGCATGGTGCCCAGGCCCCGGCGTCAGCAGACGCTGCGCTGGTGCCGCGCTCTACAGGGGCACAGCGGCGGCTCACAGCACAGCGGTCGTTCCGCATGGTGCCCAGGCCCCGGCGTCAGCAGATGCTGAGCTGGTACCGCGCTCTACAGGGGCAGCTTGCGCCCCAGCCCAACTTTGGCAGAGATGGCGGGCAGGGGACGCGTTGGGATTTGAAGCCGACTATTTGCCCATGCTGCCATATCCATGTTCACGTTAAAGTTGAGGAAAAAGCAAAGGACTCCAGCCCACCTCTCAATACATGACTTATTTCACACGTGCTTAATAGCACAAGTGCACGCGAAGATTACAGAAAGGTGTGATATCACCAAACAGCAACGGTTCCGGCCATATGTACGGTTCACCCCATGGAGCCAGTTCCCATCCAGCATTAGCTACCACACATGCCTGACATCAGTTTCATGCTTAGCCTGGTCTTGAAATGTCTTGTGAGGGCCAGCCAGCTCCGGTAGATTGCCATTGCCACTGACTGATTGCCACTGACGCCAGCCAGCTCCGGTAGATTCCACTGCCACTGACTGATTGCCACTGACGCCAGCCAGCTCCGGTAGATTGCCACTGCCACTGACTGACTGCCACTGACGCCAGCCAGCTCCGGTAGATTGCCACTGCCACTGACTGATTGCCACTGACGCCAGCCAGCTCCGGTAGATTGCCACTGCCACTGACTGATTGCCACTGACGCCAGCCAGCTCCGGTAGATTGCCACTGCCACTGACTGATTGCCACTGACGCCAGCCAGCTCCGGTAGATTGCCACTGCCACTGACTGACTGCCACTGACGCCAGCCAGCTCCGGTAGATTGCCATTGCCACTGACTGATTGCCAGTGACGCCAGCCAGCTCCGGTAGATTGCCATTGCCACTGACTGATTGCCACTGACGCCAGCCAGCTCCGGTAGATTGCCATTGCCACTGACTGATTGCCACTGACGCCAGCCAGCTCCGGTAGATTGCCATTGCCACTGACTGATTGCCACTGACGGTTCACCGGACTGAGCTTCGACTGTCGGCGCCGCTCTGCCGGTCCTAAGCCATCTCGGCACACCGTCACAGCACGTAAACATGCCGTTGTACAAGAGTGGCTCCCTTGGAATGCATCAACCATTAGTTTATTGAAACTACCAGTTGTGATGCCAATAAATGCATTTACATTAGTCTGAGGGGTGCGTGGAGTTGTTAGTCAGTGCGGCTGTTTTTGACGACACTTGTTAGCCTTGTACGCCCTTACGGGATTATCGGTGTGAATCAGCCGTAACCCGACGTGCGAAGACATATGGCCCTCGTGGAAATGGTCAGCCGGCCACTAACAGGGACTATGTGGAGGTATTCGTTGCTATTTTGTGTGCTAAACTGGACGTCGGTGTGATGATCGTTGTATTTGAAACGGCAGCTGCAGCAGTGGTTTGACGTTTCTATACTTGTTGCATTGGGGTGCGTCAACTACGCTGGTTATTTGCGCTGGCTTTGCATTATGAAACTCTAAGAAATCAAGTAGCAATGTCTGCCCCACTTCACACCATCATGCGTCCTCCAGCGGACACAGCCGTACCTCCCCCACTGTGCACGGCCGTATCTCCCCCACTGCACACGGCCGTACCTCCCCGCTGTATACGGCCGTACCTCCCCCACTGCACGCATCCGTACATCCTCCACTGAATGCAGCCGCACATCCCCCACTGAATGCAGCCGCGAATGCTGCGCTGAACGCCGAAGCAGTATGATGTCCGGCACAGATCCTCGCCTCCTGCACTGCAGCCGGCCGTGCCCTTTCCTGCGCGGCGTCCCCTGACCGGTCGGCCCTGCTCGTGTTCCAGTACGCGGCGGCGGCCGCCTCGCTCTCGGCCGTCTCTTCGTTGGCCGGACCGCACCCGCCGCCGCCGCCGCCGCCGCTGCTCTTCTACCCGGCGCCCGGCTACCCGCTGGGCCTGGCGAGCGCCGGCTGGGGCGCCGCCGGCCGGCTCGCCTCCAAGAGCAGCAGCATCGCCGACCTGCGCATGAAGGCGCGCAAGCACGCCGAGTCGCTGGGCACCGCCCTCAGCTCCCGGCTGTCGCCGGTCTGAGGCGGGTCAGCCGCATCCTGAGGGCCCGACTCCGGGCGGAATGGGAGGGGTGCCGGTCCCAACCGGGCTGGCACCAGTGTGCGACGCACTGACACCACTGACGCCGGGCGCACACAAGGTTAAGACAGATCAACACCAGTGCCGGACGGACTAGCACTGGTCTGGAAAGGGCTCACACAAGTGTAAGATGCACTGCCGCCAGGCTGGGTCGGACTGACACCAGGCTGGGGCGGACTGACACCAGTGTGAGACGGACCGACGTCTGAGACTGGCTGACACCAGGCTGGGGCGGACCGACACCAGTGTGAAACGGACCGACGTCTGAGACTGACTGACACCAGGCTGGGTCGGACTGACACCAGTGTGAGACGGACCGACGTCTGAGACTGACTGACACCAGGCTGGGGCGGACTAACACCAGTGTGAGACGGACCGACGTCTGAGACTGACTGACACCAGGCTGGGGCGGACTGACACAAGCGAGCAGACGCACTCTAGAGGAAGTCGTCCACGCGGCCTCGGTGGTGCTGAGTCCGGACTGAGTGCCGGCCCCCCCCCCCCCCCCCCCCAGCTGGATTGTATCCAGCCCTTGTGGGACTGTATTCAGCCTAAGCCGAACCGTGCGCTCAGCTGACCGGCTTCGCAGCCCCGAGTTTGTTGGCCTCCACCGTCGGCGTCTACGGCCCGGCCTGCCCAGCCGTGTCCGGCCCGATGGTGGTCCGTGCTCCGGGACAGGTGGCTGGCGGCAGCGCTGCAGTTCGGCGCGCTCGAGCGGCGGCAGGCGAGCTGCGGCCCAGAGCATGCCGAGAAGTGCGGTCTCCTCCCCTGGGGAGAGGTCGGTCGGCCAGGTTCGGTGGGCGTGGCTTAGCCTATGGTCTCCGCCCGGAAGCTGGAGATCCAAGTTTGCGACGTTGTTCATCCTCTCAGTGTTTTTGCGGGCCGGGAAATGCTGTGCAAACGGGGCGAGATTGTAAGCTTTGATGCGGGTGGAAGGAGGCGTGCTCCTAAAATCGCTTGAGGGGCCCCTGCAGGGGAGTAGTTTTGCAAAACGAGTTGGCGAGAGGGCTGAACAACGAAAAATGGCTCGACCTATCCCCGAAATGGGCCTACGAACTGGCTTCTTCCCTGATTTGGACTTCTTTCCTCTTAAAGTTCAGGAGGGGCTGGAGCCCCAGTTTAGGGTCTAAAAACCCCAGCTGAATAAAAAAAACTACACCCTTGAACCCTTGTATGTGTTACAGTTTGAATACTCAGCATACATTTTCTTTTCGAAAGAATAATTTCTGCTCCGAAGACTTATAATCTTTTCTTCAACCCGCAGCCTTTTGCTTCGTCAGCCCGAGTTCATTTCAATGCAGTGCGATCTGCTAAGTTTCTAACATAAATGTTGTCTTGGACGGGCGGCTCGCGGTAAAATATCGCGAACAATTACGTAACTGATGAGTCGATCGGATGCCACAACTGCGTTTGCATAGTCGCATTTGAAAGCATTTATCTATGACGTTCATCGAACCGCATAGATACTTTCATAATGATTGCTGCTGTCGGACGGCTTGAGAAGCTGTCGGATGTCTTGAGAGGCTCTATTGTGACGCTCATTCTGTTCATTCCATGCGCGCGTGCTTCCACTGTAGAACAGGTCGGTGTTGGGCTGCGATGGTGCCAAGCAAGTGCAAAATGAAATGGTGTGCTTCTAAGGGAAGCTGTAACGTGGACAAGTAACGTACCGAAAAGCTGTGGATTAGGAGGCTATGTAGGTCTTCATTCATGCACATGTCGTGATTCCATGTTATGGTTTCGGTACTGGAGAGATCGTCCAACCCTCAGTCCTCTGCCAGCTTGGGAACTTTGTGGACAATCTTCACTCGTGTGAGCAGTGGTGCTGAAGCGATCCGGAACGACACCGATGCGGTCCGTTTAAATTATTTAAGTTTTTAAATTTGATTAAGCTTCTCCATTGACAATCTTTGTTCTTCAGACGCCAAACACCATCTCGTTCTGTCACGTGACATGATTTCGTGGTGCCCACGAAGTTCGTATTCGGTGAACTCCAGTGGCAGTGAGACATTAAAACGCGACGGCGTGCGCGTGTATTTGTCGTGGTGGCACTTACATACCTATGATCTCAATTGGTGCCAATCTGTTACAACCATGTGTGTACTTATATTTTAACCCTACACGTTCCGGATCTACGGAATAGCTAAGATGCCCTGTATGTGCATTGCATTGCAATGTAGCATGAGTCGTGCAATACATATAACATTTCCTGGTTTATCATCAGACAGCTCAGGATGGCATGGGTGCCAGCACCCGGACGTGCGATGGGCGACATGACTGGTAGTGGCAGTTTGATCGATGACCTCGATGTCTACTTTTACAAAGCCAGGCCGGGCGTCGCTGCCGATAGTGCAGTGGTTAAGTTCCGCGTTTAGGAAACCAGAGGTACGGGGTTCGAATCCCCGCGGTGTCCGCCCCTCCTGCCAGGGATGGCGGCAGGCCATAACATGAAGGCTCTGGGTGCGTCCCGAAGCTCCAATGCCTGATGAAACACGGAAGACCATGAAGGCACGGCGAGGAATTCAGCTGGCGAAAAATGGAAGGGCCACGATATTAAAAATGTGATTTAGTTATATCGGTAAAGAACGACGGTCGAGGACGAAAAGACTTTGCTATCTCAATAGTTACGTCAGATTTCGTTATACACGTTCACAAAAAAATTGGAACAAAACCATTCCATTCTATGGCGTTCCTAAAGATATCAACACAAATGAGACCAATTAAGTTCCGCGCGAACAACATGTACAACCAGACGTGGACGGCTCGGCTGGACACGTGGCTGGGTAGGTAAACACGTGGCTGGACACGTGGCTGGGTAGGTATTGCGAAGGAAAACGCACAGATATTGATGATCCAACGAGGCATCGCTCATGTAGAAAGCTACATCAGAGATAGAAGCGTGATTCCAATGTGCCCTCAAAGTGGCGTCGCTCACAGCTGCCTTCTATATCTTGATTCCGTATGGAATCACATATTTCATGCACATCTCTTGAGACATTTAACAGTTACCAGTTAGGGTTACCATTACCGCCGCAGAATGGCAAAAGTGCTTCTTAACACCCATCGCTATCAATTCCTCGTCGTTAGTCCTCGTCCTCGTGGCTGCCTTCACAAAAGAACAAAGAAACTAATTCCTCAGACGGTAAAGCAGGCGGTAAATGGCCTCGGTCGAGGAGACACGAGCCCACTGTCTTCAGCTCAGCTGGTGGAGCGCCACAAGTCTAGTGACGCTGTGACGGACATGTAGGCTCGTGCCCCGGAGACCACGCTCCTGCGACCGGCCAATAGCGGCCGAGCGGCAGCCGTCCGGTACGGCCCGATCGGCGCGGACGGCCGTTTCATGACGTCACGTGGCAAGCTAAAATATCCCGGCCAAATTTGCCCGTTCAACTGCAATGACCTCTGCAACTGGGGTGGCGCGGGGAAGGAATGTTCGCAATAAAGGAAGCTTAGCTAGGACTGTGCTCCGCGTCCTCTCTTGGATACCAGGTTTGAGCGACGGTTCCATGGTGTTATGTGAATAGGCTTGTACTCATCACCATCTAGATTTGTACGTATATCTTAAAGATCACTCCGAATTGGGCGGATTATGAACACAACAAATAGTGTGCATTTTGAAATATTCCGTATTTAGCGCACATTGTCATTGTCCGGCGAACACAAACCTGAGTCCTGACCGGCCACGTGCCTGTCAGCCCCACTTTCGATCCTCCAAAAGCCGGCTTCAAACCGCGGCAAACCTCCCCGCCCTTTTTGCCGCCGGCCGGGCGGTCAGCGACGGCGCGGGGGACGGGCCGAGCGAGGGGAGGGGGCGGGGCGGGGTGGGGTCGGACGCGTTTTCCCAGCTCAGTGGAGGCGGCCGGCCGGCCCGGTCCTCTCGGCGCGTGGACGCATGTCGCGACGGCACCCGGCCGTTAGGCGGGACGGAGCCGCGCTGGCCGCCGCCCGACGCCGATGTTTATTTTATTACCAGCCGTTCCATCGCCGGTCCACTCGCATCACGGACCATTGGGAAACATCAGATTTTATCCGTCGCTAATCCATCTGAGGCCGTTATTGGATTACTATGATATGTGTGTGGTGGTCGCTGGCCGTCTGCCGCTCGATGGTGGCGCGACTTTGGCGGCCGACGTCGGCGACAAAACACGCGCACACGCACGCGCAGACACGCGCAGATGCACGCGCGAACTACGCATGCATACGCACGCTTGCACACAAGCACGCACGCACGCCTCCGAGGGAATGAATCGGCGTTCAGGTTTGAGTAGCGCTAACAGGCTGGGAAAACACTGGTAAGGGTTGCATGTTTTTGTAAAGGACCGAGTTTTGGTCGAATCAAATGGACCAGTTTGGCCAAGATTTAATGAGCATGTGTTCGTAAAAACGGAATCCATGGAAACATTAAAGGAGGACGATATTTCCGGCCACCAGAACTTGCCATCCGGTGACGTGTAAGCCAACCGCCAAGATTTTATAACAGCGACAACATTACAAGGGCTTGGGAACTATGTGAATCTGTTCGTACCTAAAGGCAAACTCAAATCCTGTTTAGATAAAAGCCGCCTACCCTGATAGAACGTGGAACATAGATGTGGCGCTGGTGCCAGTCTTGCCCTTCTGTTGTCAATGCGTCATGTCAAAATATAGTTGACACATGCTATTTCATCACATCTTTTTTGGCGGAATATTGACAACAATGCGAATACCAATGTTTTAGATACCAACATGATGAACACCGTTTTTCGTTTGATGATGTTTCGATTTGAACTGCATAAAATCAAGGTCTATAAAGGAAAAATGAACGAAAAATATCCTTCACTAAGCATCCTAAGCCTATTATTGTCGGGAGGTCGCCATTAACGCGATTTCAAGATTTCATTGGCGAAATCTCCGTTTTTGATCGTGTGGCTAGTGGCTACCAATCTTTTCATAATGTCAATAGCAAAAAACAAACTGCGAGCTACCAAACTTTAGTCACAATCTTGACGTCATCTCGGCGTAGCATTTTCCTCTAGTAGCTTTGATCCTGATGCGGTAAAAAGGTCGAACGAAACCATTGAAATGCCTCCGTGTGGCCCGGGATCCGCAACTACCGGTGCCCCAAATTAACTGTTGTTTAAAGTGAGCATGTGCCTACCCTAGCCAAGCGAACCTTGTTCACTGTATGGGGACTCAACTGGCCAAGCTTTGCGTTGGTGCATCACGTTTATCAAACTTAAATTTGTGTTTTCAGAGCTGGCTCCATGCCGACTTTGTGAGCCTAGTGGGACGCTTTGTGCAATCAAAACGTACCCGGGTGACGACAGACGCCGTTGGGAGCCAGTGATATAAATCAACGAATCCAAGTGGCCGTCTTCATGCCAACTCAGCAGGCCGAAACATTCAATGATGCGGCGTCCGCGCCCACTCATGAATCACCGCAGGAAGCGGGCTGGCCATGGACCTGGGCAAGTCTGCTGCTTCAGTCGGAAGCACGTTCGTATTGGGTATGACTAGCGTTTTCGGCGACCGTGAGCAGAGCACTGGTAAAAATATACATTTTGGGGAGGATAATGGTTCTAGTGCACTGCTCTATATGGCCGAGGAGTTTTGTGGCCCAATCTGTCATGGCTTGAGCCGCGGCGTGTGAAAATTGAAACTGGTTGTGGAGTAGGCGGAACTGGCTGTTTACGGGCCGATCACTGGCGCACGTAACGCTTAGACAGCGGCGATGTTGATAGGTGATTCCTGGGTGCTGCCCTTGGCTACCCAGCGCAGCTTACGCCATGTTTTCAGCTACCCGCCTGCCGACTTCCAACATCAGCGTTTTATAGCGGTCGAGATGCGGGAAATCTCAGATGCCAGACACCGATCGCCTGAGCTTGCGTGATCTGCACACACCGGCTCGTACTGTTGCCGATGCGATGGCCCGTGCCACCACCCCTTCGCCCTACAGCACTGGCCTCGTGTCGATGCGAGCCCGGTGGGATGTGAGCCCCGTCTCTGAGCCCGGTGGGATGTGAGCCCCGTCTCTGAGCCTGGTGAGATGTGAACCCCGTTCCCGGTGAGCCCGCGAGATGTGAGCCCCGTCTCTGAGCCCGGTGGGATGTGAGCCCCGTCTCTGAGCCTGGTGAGATGTGAACCCCGTCTCTGAGCCTGGTGAGATGTGGACCCCGTTCCCGGTGAGCCCGCGAGATGTGAGCCCCGTCTCCGATGAGGCTGGTGAGATGTGAGCCCCGTTTCTGGTTATCCCGATATGTGAACTCCGTTTCCGATGTGTCTAGTGAGACGTGAGCCCCGTTTTCGATGTGCCTAGTGAGATGCAAGCTCCGTTCTCATGCGCGTTGTGCCTGTCTGCGTGCTTTGAAACTTGGCATTTCCTATGTTGAGCACATAGTGAGGTTAATTTTACTCGCGGTACAAGGTGGCAAATCATGTCTGCTCGAACATCCCGCATGCAATGTCTCAAAATTTACATAGCTTCACTCCTTGTCGCTGAAGAACGCATAAAGTTGTCATGAATGAATCCCAAAATATGCCTCCAGAAGGCATGGCGCCCGGGGCAGGCCGGGCGCCACAAGTATTAAAATCCTCCAACTCTCTGAGGACTCGCTGCTTCAAAATCGCGTGACTGTATCACCCATCTGGGAACGCGTGTCAGTTGTTTCATATGCTTGTGTACAGTGCAATGGTCGGAGGAGGTTGGCCGTTTAATTCAAGCAATACTCAGCCGAGCGGACACATGCAAGCGTGGTCTGTGGTGTGGCGAATGTCACATGACCAAAATGCATGCCATCGTTCAGAAACAGGAGTCAAAAGCCATTTCCAACCGTCTCTTTGGCTGAGATGTCAGTGTTTTGGGAAGAACATCGTGTGACTTAGTATTGTCACACGTCCGAACACGAAACTTGTTCAACAGCTTCAGACACCGACATTGTTCTCCACCAAAACTACGCGTCATAGAGGTTCTATTGTGTTCGCTGCACAGAAGAGACAAGACAATTTAGCGACGTGACATCTATGGAACTGGCGCACAAAACGGCAGCAGTACCACACATGCATTGCATGACAGTAGCTCTCTGGACAAATGTCGAAACAGGCCTCTAAGGTTACTTTAAAACGTACCGAACCTTGTTTAGTGACATACACCCCTGCCCTCACCAGATCGTAACCCAATTCAAAGACTTTTACTGATCGGAACTACTTCGATTCTTAATTCAGAGCCTGTGCACTCTACACGATTTTGACCTTCGATTCCAGCCATCTAGCTCACAAATCTCATTTCTTATCTGACACTGAGCTCGGCCCCAGGCGCCAGAGGGCCTGCCGTTGGTCGAGACTAGGTCAGCTGGCTCCTGGGCGAGCGCTGGGCGCTGTGACGCAGCTTCTTCTTCTTGACGTGGGCGTCGGGCGTCTCCGGCGGCGCGGCCAGCTTCTGCTTGATCTGGTCCTCGGTGAGCGGTACCGCGTCACTTTCGGCGTCGCTCTCGTCGCTGCCAAACACGACGCCGTCAAACGCTGCCGACAACGGACATGTGCAGGACTGCTCGCACCGGCCCGCCGACATGCCAGGGCCCGTAACATCCACGCGTCAGTACAAGGGGCACGCAGCTGACAGCGCTCGATAACGCTTCACTCCCTCGCTACGACGAGGCTGCTGGGAGACTGGCAGCGGCGGCTCTGAGCGCTGCAGTCGCCCCGCCCGTCCCGCCGCTCCGCCGCCCACACGCTGCGTCCTGCGGGACGCGGAGCGCGCGCGCCTGCCAGCCATGTACCGCGAGCCGGCCGGCGCGGCGCCAGCCTACCCGGAGCCGCCGCCCGGCCGCCGCCATAGCCAGGTGACGTCAGGAGGGCGCGGTGCACTGCTGCGGCATGCCACGGCAAACCATGGGGGCAACTCGAGCACCGCACTGGTATAACGGGGCCCTCAAATGCGAAACAGCTGGTTTTCAGCTGCGGTCTAAAAGCAAACGTTTAGTACCCGCTCATCTCAATCATCCTCGACGTTGACATATTTTTGCGTTATAAGCAGGCTAGAAATAAACTAAGCATGTCTTCACTGACAGCCCTGACTGAGTCCGTTGGACAGCGCACTGACGAGAGCGTAAACAACGCACATTTAATGATTGCATAAACTATGTACACAACCACGAATAGTCAGACATTGCTGACTGACTGCCCTGCCACGGTGTCCACCACTTCTGTCCGTGCCCAGCAGCCACCACCCACTCCTCACGTTCGACCCAGCGCAACCCACCTCCCCAGTCGACTTCCGTCGCCACCAGACGGCAGCACTCACCCGGGCGACGGTGCTGCCACCTTTATGTCTACGGCGGCCAGCTGCTGCGGCAGCATGAGCCGGCTGCTCTGCTGGCGCGCCGAATCCACCGAGCCGCTCTGAGACTGAGACTCCTCCGAGTCATCCAGCGCCTGACCCGAGTCGCGCTGGAAGTCGATGAACTTGCGCACGCGCAGCAGGTCGTTGACGCGCTGCTCGACCATCGTCAGGTACGTCATGATGTTATTCTCAGTCACTTGTTGGTTGTTACCTGCGGGGTAGACACATGGGGTGGTTGCTGTGAGTCGCGCTATCATGCTAGGCGCTGGTATTGTCTTCGGTTGCCACTGACAATTCCTAAAGCTCCATAGTCCGGTGCAGTATACCAGACAAGTGTTACCAGTCAGCTGTCGGAACAGCCACCTTGAAGCCCGTTGCCCGAGCGAACATTGTCGACATCGTAGCCTATGGCGTGCGATTGGATGTGCGAGTACGTTTGAATCAGTGACCAAAGCTATCAAGATGCACCATACTTCTCTCGAGATCAGACTTTCAGCACCGCACAAACAGCCGGCAGTTGGTCCCGGTACGCTACACACATTTGGTGAGCAAAAATAATGTATGTAATAAAACAAAAAATGAGAATATGTGGCGGACATGCACGACCGGGCGCCCTAAATAGTTATTTCGTTCAGTTTTTCAACCTGCTTGCTGTTGCGCCCTTCAACCAGCTCAACCTGCGTGCCCATCAAACTGCTCTTCACTTTATGCGTACTTGTTCCCGTTCCCACTGCAACGAACCTTGGTTGACGTCCAAGGATAATGGAGTGAGAAGAAAAAAACGCAGGAAAACCAATCTTTACTGTAATATTTTTCTCCGTCGTAGCTCGTGACTTCCGTTGCGATCAGCGCAATCCTTCGGAGTGTTGCAGTTGCCACTCCTGGTTGGGGAAACCACACCACGGAGACGGGCGAATGTCAACGAGTGCCTCCGCATTCTCCGAAGGCCCGAACGTGGCCGGCGCACGCGTGGGGACGCCTCTGAGGTCTCAGCGTCTTGGGTCGCACCACCGCTCATTCTGCGTCGGCCTGAACGTGGCCGGCGCACGCGTGTGGACGCCTCTGAGGTCCCGGCGTCTCGGGTCGCACCACCGCTCATTCTGCGTCGGTCGCGTGCTAGCCCAGCGTCAGATTACCCCAACCTCCGGCGCCACGGCCTGAGGTGGACGATACCGCACAGGGGGTTCGTGTATTTTGTTTTGTTTTTGTTTTAAGAGAACGTGACACACGTCGTCAAACCCTTAAATCGAGCGTTAGCGACGGCATCGGCCATATTGGGGCTTGAGGGCCATGACGCAACGGGGATTCGAGTGTCCATTGAAGAATGCGGATAATGGTGAAAAATGCTGTCTTAACTTTTAACTTTAAATTTGCCCACCCAGCACTGCTATCAATCCGGATCACATCGTGGCGAGGCCGTTCTGTGGAATCGTCTACACCAAATGTTGCATGGAGTGCTGTCTTCTTGCATGTGCCATGCCATTCGTGCTCTGTCTGTCTGGTACAGTGGAAGGACAAATGCCGGCTGGGGCATATGAATGACATTACGCTTCCCCAAAACCATACTATATCGACTTACGTCCTGACTTCAAATCGACAGCAGCGTACTGCCCGAAACCCCTACTCACCAAGGGTTATGAATACGACCTGGAGGACGTCTGGTCTTCCAGACCACCCTAAATCACACCACAGCACCCGGGACCGGCCAGGCCCAGAGTCTACCCGGGCCCGGCCCGGCCCAGCGTCTATCCAGGCCCGGCCAGGCCCGGCTTCTACTCAGGCCCGGCCCGGCCCGGCGTCTACCCGGGCCCGGTCCGGCCCGGCGTCTACCCAGGCCCGGCCCGGCCAGGCGTCCTCCCGGGCCCGGTCCGGCCCAGCGTCTACCCGGGCCCGGCCAGGCCCGGCGTCTACCCAGGCCCGGCCCAGCCAGGCGTCCTCCCGGGCCCGGTCCGGCCCAGCGTCTACCCAGGCCCGACCAGGCCCGGCGTCCGCGCCGCTGCGCCGTCACTCACCAAGAAGTTCGAGAATGGGCGAGCGATCGCACTTGGTCTCCGTGACCAGCTGGTCGACGCCGAGGCAGAGCTGGCGCAGCAGCACCTGGTAGCGCTCCAGCGACTGCTCAGCCCGGTCCGCCAGCTCGGCCGTCTCCTGTGTCTCGTGCTGCCGCACAGATACAACACCGCTGCGGCCAGCGCCGGAGAGACGGCCGACGGCTCACCGCGGAGCGCCGCCCAGGCCGTGCAGGATCATCGTGCGCCGTTGGCGGTCAATTATTGTGAAGCGAAGCGTTCGACTGCCGCATTTAGCACCAGCACATAAACGCATTCTTAGTTAATTAATTACACAAAACTAACGCACCCAAATTTCCCTGAAGGCATGTAGCTCAGCCAACACTCACAAAAAACGCAGAGTACCCAGGTGAAACAATACTCGTGATGTCGATCATTGTCCAGCGATCCTCCTTAAATACAACAACCACTGAAGTGGGACGAGCGCTATGCTTCACCTTGGCGCGCTGGTCTCCTACCCACGTACATACCTCTAACACCTGAATCTGCTCCTGTTTGCTCTGCGTCTCTTCCACGTCCTTTTGCTTCGTCTTCTCAATCGCCTCTTCTGTGAG